GTCTTGGTCTAGAACGGAGAATGCAGTTAACCGTCATAAAAACACCCTTGCAGTTAAATTCGAAAAACTTCTTTTACAGTCTTCCAGTTCAAGTAGTAGTTCAAAAAATCTTCCCATTGTAAACATCAAGCCAATAGTTAATATTTCTAATGTTAGTCTTTCAGAAGAACAAGAGAGAATTCTAAAATATAATTTTAACTTCTCACAAACCTGTAAACCCTCGATTCCAAAGATTTTGGCTCCTATCGAAAAAAGCTTTCAAGTTCAGTAAAGTTTCAGATTCACAGAAAGAAATGATTAGGCATCTTATCGCTCATAATGTGAAATTCAATAATAAACCTTTGAAACCAAATCTAACTGCGAGAGAAAGAGCTACAATGCGCGAAATTCATTCTAACCCGGATATTGTCATTTCAAAGGCCGACAAAGGTGGCCAGATAGTCGTCATGGATAAGAACACTTACATCGATGGTGTCACTAAACTCTTAAACGAAGGACCATATAATCCGATCCCTAAAGATCCTTCACCTTCGGACTTATCCAAAATAAAAACTGCGATCAAATCTTCGCAAATCATTTCAAGCAACTTAAAACATTCGCTTATCCCATCTGTTGCGAATTGTGCCAGATTATATGCTCTTCCCAAAATTCATAAAAGTGGTATTCCTTTCCGCCCTATTGTATCAAATTTAGGTACTGCCTCGTATCCTTTAGCTAAATATTTAGTTTCTAGATTTTCCACTCTATTAGACAATAACATTTACACCATAAAAAATTCAATAGAGTTTGTAAAAAAGGTTAAAAAAACATTTCTCCTAGTAATTTACTCATGGTTTCTTTTGATGTAAAATCATTATTCACCAATGTCCCAGTGGAGGGTGCATTAAGATGTCTAGAAACCAGACTTCGCGAATTTCATTTCTCTTGCATCGAAATTGATGAGCTAATTTCTCTCACTCAACTCTGTTTGAAACAAACACATTTTGTTTTCCAAAATAAATATTACAAGCAAACTGAGGGATTAGCCATGGGAAGCCCCCTCAGTCCCATCCTGGCTGATATCTACATGCATTATTATGAATCAAAATTGTTTGAAACTTTAAACTTCCCGGCATGGTTCCGCTACGTAGACGATACTTTTACCCTGTTTGAAGGTAATAAAGATGATTTAAATAAAGTTCTTTCAACAATGAATTCTATTGATCCTGCTATTCAGTTCACTTTTGAACTTGAGACTTGCAATTCTCTTCCGTTTCTCGACATTCTGGTCACACGTAACACATCCAACTTCAGTACTACAGTTTACCGTAAACCTTCATCGGTTTGCCTTCCACCACACTTTAAATCATGTCATCCGACTAAACAAAAGTTAGCTTCATTTTATTCCTATGTTTTCCGTGCTCTTCAAGTTTGCTCCTCCAAACTAGCCCTTGATGAAGAACTAAATTATTTAAAAGCAATAGCTATTGACAGGGGCTTTTCACCCAACATTATTAATCAAGCAGTTAAAAAATTCTCATCTCAACACACTAAAAGCCACACTCTTATTTTAGGAGATTATAAAAATTCTGTTGTCATTCCCTTCTTTCCATCAATTAGCTATAAAGTTGCACATATTTTGCAGAAATTTAACTTTCGGGTTGTTTATTCTCCCATCAATAAAATTCCAACTTCTATACTCAAGGACCCCATTCCGGATATGAATTCCTGGGGTATTTATAGGATTCCTTGCCAGTGTGGTTTAATTTACATTGGCCAAACTAAGAGAGCCTTAAAATTTCGCGTCAAAGAACATGAGGCATATGTTAGAAAAAAGGAAACACAGAAGTCTTCTGTTGCTCAACATTGTTGGTCCGAAAATCACACTTTCAATTTTTCTGCTGCCAAAATTATTCAAAAAACATCTTCCATTGGAGAACTGGATTTTCTAGAGGCATTTCACATTCATAAAAATCTTTCTGTTCTAGTTAACGATCCTAATTCCAATCCAAATTTGCCTTCGGCTTTTAGAGAAATTATGTTTTAGTTCTGGTTTCGCCAACAGATGGCGCCACTTGCTTATTCTTGTCCAGGCTTTCTTATCTTATCTAATCATTATTTCCTATCTTGTTCATTTGCGGTTTTGCAGCTGAAGATGATGGTTCGGTAAAACCATCGAAACTAGTCCTGTGAAAATTTTGTAGGTATAACGCTGATTTTTGTTTTTTGAATTAACAAATTCATAGAGAGAGACATCTTTGAGGAATCAAGAATGAATTAAATTTTTGGCGCGAATGCACAAATTTTTAACCAATCAGGGAGCTGATTACAACTCGTTAATGCACAATTTCTATAACCAATCAGAAAGCTTATTACATCAGCCTAGAATTAAATTTGTTTAAAAATTCATACATAATAAAATCATTTTAAAAAATTAAAAATTAAATTGTATTTTAATATTTAACAGCCATAAATATGTTTAAAACATTAGATTAAATTTATACATATTAAGACCAATTACTTTTAAAGTAAGGTGACGTCATTGATTACATCATCCACAACATAAAATTTCATAGAATATGATAAACAAAAAAAAAAAAAAAAAAAAAAAAAAAAAAAAAAAAAAAAATATTTCAAATAAAAATGCAAAATTAAATTGATTTTTAATATTTAGAAGCCATAAATAATATTTAAAACACGGAATTTATGCACAATAAAACACATTATTTTTTAAATAAAATGACAACAAAGTATCGGTTATCATAAATAACTTATCTCGCAGTGGGTTTACCATAAGTTGTATTACTTGCCAAAAGAATATCGCCAAAAAATCGTCAAAATCCGTGCAACCGTCTACCAAAGTAGCACCAATTTTATAAAATTTGGCGAGAAACTTAACAAGAAATTTAAAAGTTAACCTTGGCGAACTTTTTTGAGTTTGCACCAAGATTAATTCACTAGGCAAAATTCTCAATTTATGCTAACCTATTTTTCTTTTCCTTTCATAGTGCATTGTTCATTTTTTCCGATAATTTTAATAAAGTGCGTAAACCATGTTTGCGTTATTATCGCTTATAACGACTGTGACAAATTTCAAAACGCGCTAATATATAAATTCACGTATATCTTAGGAAATTTGAATCCAAACTCTTAATTTTCTGCAAGTATGCGTAGAAATACACCTACTTTAAGGTGATGGTAAAAATTTTATAGATTATAATTCAAAAAATTGTTCGAAAAATGCGTAAAAGTTTCTAAAAATATGATATATTAAAAATAAATCGGAAAAATTTTATTTGGATTGAACCTAAATTTTGAATTATGAAAGAAGGAATTCAGTAAATTCAACCAATATATATATATGAATATATACTAAATTCAATTAACATTGAAGACCTAAAAAGTTTGAGAGCTAATTTTTTAAAGACTATTTTTAGATTTTTCGTGCGATTTTTAGAAAACTTAGCACTTTGCCATAATTTGAATCGTAGAATCAAAATGTGGAAAAAAATCGATATGTTCCAGTAAAAGTCAGATTTTGTATCAAAATGCGTATGTTAGAACTATTTGCTGTACATAAATCTGATATGTATCCGAAGTCGCGCCTTCTGTGCATGGAAACGCAAGTTTAATTTCATCAGTCAGCCCAGTAGAACGAAAGATGTAGAATTGCCCCCTTTTTATTTTGTGCAGAGTGTATGTAACATTTTTTTTCGCATTAGTAACTTTTTATATTTTTTTTCTGAACATTTATTTTATTTTTTTAATTTTAATTGTTTCTAAGTTCATAAAAGTGTAGTTTTTCTTGAAATGACTAAAAATGCTGAGCACTGTAGTTAAAAAAAATGTAACCTAAATAGTGCATTAGTTTTCATAAAATATTCATTGCCTAAATGTGATTAAATCAGATAAACATTTCGATTTGTTATCTGAAATATGTTGACTTAATTGTGCCATTTAGTTGTATACAGTCAAAAGTCGTTAATTCGGACACCCATAATCCGGAATGATCTATAATCCGAACCTCAAAGATAAAAACTTTCTGCGCATGCGCCGCGTCGACGCATGCGCATAGGCGTTTAAGCGTGTGCGTAAGACCTTTACGACTGCGCATGTGCGTGTGCACAAGCGCAGAATACGTTTTCGCGTGCGCGTTTAATGTATAGCGGACGGTATAAGCTAAAATTATGTAATTATCTATGTTGATGATTGCGTTGTTCCTTAATCTTCGAATTGGATCCGGCTTATTATTTTTTGCAGACTGTAAGAGCAATTTTATAAAAGTAAGCTTGAACTTTCGATTATGTCAAATAGAATTTCCGATGCTGGAGCTCCCAATGGATCTACAAAACGAAAGTATGTTTCGACGTCCATCAAACAAAAAGTGGAATTGCTGCTAAAAATGGATAAAGGCCTTTCCTTTGTTTATCTAACCGTTCCAAAATATGTTTATCAATTTCACGCTGCTGTGCGCGGGGGGGCAATGAACTGGAAGTTGATCTATCAGCACTATCTTTATCTTCAGGGCAGATGTTTTTGTTTTATTCGGCTTATAATTCCTTACTAAATGTAGTATTTCATCTCGATGTACTCCGTCTTTGATATGATTAAATCAAATTCCTCGTCATTATAAATATCACGAATACAAATCAAATACTTTTCTGGTTGCAATTTTCTAATTTCGGCTATGCGTAATGTATTACACATGCGCGCGTTGAAAGAAATGTTTAATAAAGTAAACAAATAAATATTAAGCTTTTTTTTTTTTTGTAAATTTTGATACCCTTTAGATCATAATTGTTCATTATTTTATAAATTACGGTTTCATATTTTTAATTTTATAATTTCTGCATGTCATCTTACCAGATTTAAACTGATGATCTATAATCCGGAAAAATCGATAATCCGGAATCGCCGAAGTCCCGACGAGTCCGGATTAAAGACTTTTGACTGTATTATGCCTTTAAAAAAATAGCTATGTTTCAAGATTGTTCACATTTCCTATTGCTCATAATGTATAGGAGAATGAAATGGAACAATACAGAACGAATGTTTATAAAGAAACGCTAACAGAAACACAAATTCATCAACTCAGACGAGAAAATGAAGTGTTGAGGCAATGCAATATTGCACTTCAGAGTGAGGTCTTTGGCTCACGGCTTGCTGCAAAATACCTTGATAAGGAATTAGCAGGAAGGTAATTATTCTTTTTTTTTTTTTTTTACTTCCAGTTTTTGGTTTTTTACATAAATAAGCGATATTTAATGTTTAGAAAATATACATGTGATATTTTTCAATTTTTTAAATTTTGTTTTCAATATTTTTCCCATGCAGAATTCAACAGATTCAGTTGCTCGGGAGAGATCTAAAAGGAGGGGACCATGACCGATTATGGGAACAACTAGAAGCAGAAATTCATCTTCATAGACATAAAACTGTGATACGTGCTTGTAGGGCACAGAGTGGATTAGGTAGTAAATTAGTATATCCACCTGGGCATGTAAGTGAAAGTTTATTTAATTTTTCCATTTAGTGTGTTCTACTTATTATTATTAAATTTCATATATTTAGTAAGCTAATGAAATGGAATTTTTTTTAGTATAATGTATGTCGAAATTACAGTTTTAATTATGTTATTGCTGTGCTTTATCATGAACTCTGTCATCAATTTTGTACCAACATTCATATTTATTTATTACTTGCATAATAATCTGGTTTACCGGATCTGGTAATAATGCATCTGGTATACCGGATACAATTTTTCATCTGAATTCCTAAGGGTGTAATTTTTTTTTTGCATAAACTTTTATGTCTTGTTTCATTGTATATATTCACTGATGCACACTGTCAGGGTTCGTAGCGGTCCTTACAAGTGCTTATAAGTCCTTATATTTGAAAATAAAGTATAAAGGCCCTTATAGATGCTTACTTTTTGTTTAAAACCCTTATTTTTTTGTTTTTAGTGCTTATTTTGTGCTTTTTTTTATTCCTTTGTTTTTAATGAACGCGCATTTTTTCCCCCGTACCAAAGCCGGAACTAAATAAACAACTTTTCTTCTTTATATGCAATGTCAGATGGTGAATCATACTCCCGAAAATTGCTTTTCCTCCCTTCCTCTACATTAACGTAACCTATGGTGCGCGCGAGAGTACAGACAGGTGCTCGTCGTTCTGTTGGCCAAAGAATTGCGAAAACGTAGAAAATTCTGGTACATTCGGTATTCTTTTCCTCCCAACCAAATACTACACACGTTTGAATTTCTATCAAGATTTTAATAATTTGCATTCTCGTTCCGCGTAGTCAGTTCATATTCGTGTTTATTATGATCATTATACTTATATTATGAGCATATGTATGAATATTTATAATAATATAGTTGCAGTAACTGCTGAAGTATAAACTTCCAAAAATGGGTGTGTTTTTACACAGATTAGCTTTCTAAGGAATAATATTCGGAATGGCTTAAATAAAAGGAAAGTAATGGAATAGTCAAAATAATTTCATTTTCTTTGCCAATACATTATACAGTACGGAGGTTGGGAGTTTTTCCGCAAAATCTCCTAATATTGAAGCAGTGGACTTTTTTTTGTCACAGTCCAGTCCGGATTGAATAGGACTAAAAGTTTTTGCGGTCTACCCAACCCAAGCGAATATTGAGTCTATTCCGGAAATTTAACGCCAGTCTGTTGAAAATTAGAATGAGAAAACACCCCAGATTAGTAAGTCTCTTTCTTTTCTTTATTTAGTTCTTTTTTCTCCGAATACCATACCGGCAGCTGTTGATTCCGATTGCGTAATATCACGTATGGGAAGAATTATGGCGCACGTATTGTGCAATAACGTTTGCGATATTTTGCAGATTGATAAATTAATTTTGATGTTCAGTCTTGAGATTTGTTTATGAACACTTGAAAGAGTTTTACTGTGCTTGCTAAGCAGAATATTTTTCAATTCCGTTGGTTTTTTATATGATTCACATATCGAAATGTCAAAATCATTTATTTAGCCCAAATTTAAATCTAAAGAACTGCTACAATCTCTCCCACTCCTCTTTTTCCAGTTACTATCCGGAATATTCGGGAATTTACGAGTATGCGGGTTAGTTAAGCTTTTACTGTTAAAAGATGACTGCATGAAGCAATTTCCCGTCTTTTGATTTCAGAAATGTGCCTCTTTTTTACTTAAATTACTTTGATATATGTTAAGGAAAAACTGTTATGCAATGAAAATTTAGAAAATGTTCAGAATTTTGATTTAAGTTAAATTATTTAAATATTAATATGAGTGGAAAAATAAATTGTATTTATTATTAGGTGCCAAGCGAATACAATTAATATGGCTTATTATTATTTATTTTCTATATTTTCAACTGAAATATCATCATTAAATCTTGTAATATAGTTTAGTTCTGCATAGTTTTTTTTTTCTCTCATTGTAAACTAATTCTGTAAATTGAACTGTCATTTAAAATTTAAAAAAAAAAAAAGTTAATTGTTTTCCATTGTTGAGGTAATGTTTATTCTCTTAATAAATATTGCATTACTCATATTTTAAATTATAAGTCTAATTTTCTTTTAAGGTTATGCAGTTGTGTATAATGTAATTAGACAGGTACTTATTTTTTCCTTAAAATGTGCTTGAAAAGTGCTTATAGGTGCTTATTTTTTTAACTAAAATGTGGCTATGAACCCTGACTGTGTACTTATTAGTTATTAGTACATGAAATATGTACTGTGTACCTCCTTTTAGATGCAAATTAATTATTAGTGCACGAAATATGCAAATTAATTGATTGACATCATGTTACCCGATGCAAACATGATGGAATTTTGGTATGTAGTGCTGTTTAAATTTAATATAGTTTCTGAGAATGATTAGGATTCTGAGTACTGATTAATTATGACTAAAACACAGCATTTAAGTGGTAGTTAATTGGTTTGACTTGAGAAGGCAGGAACACAAATGGAGGTCAACCAAGATCTGACTATCCCTTAAAGTGTCATATCAAAAACTTAACCACTTTTTAAGCAATGGCAATCTGAACAAGAACAACAAATTCATCCAAAGACCATTTTCTGTCATTGTCAACTTGAAGAATCTAAGAAGCAAACAAAATATTTGATTTTAGATTTTCAGGTTACACCCAGAACTGAGGTCAGCCATTCTACTGCTGCATGAAAGCTTTATGAGGTTGCACTATTATGCAGCAAAACCAGTTGTTTGTGACCCACTCACTTATATATAATATCTATATCTCCCAAAGGGGCCTGTTTAAAGTTGTGTCATTTGATGTTAATTGGAGCCAAGATGAATGGGACCATGTATTATTTACTGATGAGTCCAGATGTAGTTTGAACCATGATTCTAAATATGTTTTGATCTAGAGAGAACAAGAAATTCACTTTTCTTCTCTTGTTCGTGAAAAGTTCTTTTGGCATGGAGAGAAATGTTATGGTTTTGGGTGGAACATCAAAAATGGCACTAAGCTGCATATCTTAAATGGAAGTTTTGTTACTGGCCATAGATATGTGGATAATGTCTTGAAACCCTATAGATGGTTATTGCTGTTGGTTGAGACTTTTTGCTAATACACTGTTCATCCCTGCTGAGCATCTCTGCTGCCAGAGCACTTAGAAATAGAAGATATCATTTAAATGGATTGGTCAACTTACTCACTAGAACTGAACCCTATGAAGTGTGAGTGGGATTCATGAGGCTGCCAAATGCCTTCCTGGAACTTCTAGGACTTTAAATATGATGTGCAATTTCAAAAGATATCTTTGAGAATTTGGTAAATATCATGAAATCAAGGTGTGAGGTTTGCATTTCTGTCAGACACGATCATACGCCATATAAAAAAACAAAAAAGATTTGTTGCAAAATAGGAAGATTAATTTCAGTTCTTTAAGTTTGACACTGAATTCAGTATTTTGAGATTAATCAGCTGGCAGACATGGTAATTTATGTTAAGTAATTCTTTTCCACAAATCGTTTTTAATAAATTTCCAATAAGTGACAGTTAAGTTTTATTTTATTTTTGGAACCTGTCAAATACTACCTTAGGATTTCCAGTGCAGAAAAACACTCATTTTCTACAAAGAAAGTCTATATATATATATTGCATTGCATGCATACAGGTTCATAGTAGATTGAATGATCATAGCTCCAATGATAGATTGATAAGATTTACTTTATCAAAAGAAGCATTTCAGAGTTTTGGAGTTTTCCACAGAAGTATTCTAACAACAACTTGCAACTTACGCAACTAACAACTTGCAACAACTGAGAGCAGATGCTTTCTCCAGCTCTATATAGTCTTCACTCTGCCGCTGAGACATTTCTAGCACCATCTGCATCTCGAAACCACTAGAAGACAATATAATGTTCGAATTACGGTTGCAGCTAATATAATGATAATTTACATTTATTCAATTGTAATACCTATTACGGTGATACAGGGACCGGATCAAAATATAGCCAGATGGTCGCCAATTGGCAACCTTTGGGGATTTCTCGCTAAATTGGGCAATAAAAATTAGTCTCGAAAACCGTTGCCAACTTGGCGATATCTCGCCAAATTACCGAGATATCCATTTCTCAATGTTAAATTTACTTGCTCCTGTATTCTTACTTCTCCAGCACAGCTTGTCTCTCTATATTTTTCATATGTTACATTACACAGAAATATACAACAATTTCACATACAATTGCACTAAAATCATCTGTGTGCAGCATTCATAATAATATGTATATGATATATCTGTATAAATAAGCATCCATATCTTTCTGATATAAGTGCTTTCATTTTATTTTGAAATTGGGTAATTTTAGTGTCAACCTTTACATGTTAAATATTAAAGGAGTTGATAAATCAGATGGATTTCCCCCCCCCTCTTTTTAAACATGATTCAGATTATTTTCTTGGAGAAGGGAGCACAAATGGTGTATCTTCAGATGTTATACTTTGATGACTCTCTTGTTGCTGGAAAGTATGGAAAAATTATTGTTTTTTTATGTACTTTTGTTTTTTTATGTGTATATTAATTTTTTCAGGATTTTCTTTTGCTAAAGAAGAAACAGGGAATAGGAGAAGTAAGGACCATTACATTACATAAAGGAGAAAATGAAGGTTTAGGAATTTCAATAACTGTGAGTTAGCATTTTACATATAGATTAGGAGTCTATAATTCAAAAGCCCTCCTGTTGATATATGCTATAAGTGTTAGAAATTAAGTAAACTTTACAGTGATTTTGTGATATGCAAAAAAGATATTGTAGGTTTAGGAATTTCAATAACTGTGAGTAAGCATTTTACATATAGATTAGGAGTCTATAATTCAAAGCCCTCCTGTTGATATATGCTATAAGTGTGAGAAATTAAGTAAACTGTACAGTGATTTTGTGATATGCAAAAAAGATATTGTATACATGCATTTTCTGATACATAAACTTGACTCTTGATTCAGTAAAGTCTACTCACATGTTGGGTTAAAATTTTAAAATAAATAAGAATAAAAAAGTGAATAAGGTTAGAAATTTATTGTCTACTCACATGTTGGGTTAAAATTTTAAAATAAATAAAAATAAAAAAGTGAATAAGGTTAGAAATTTATTTTAATGCAGCTTTAATATGCGAGTCTAAAAATCTGCTTAGAGATATACTCTAAAATTTAGAACTAGACTTTTGAAAATTAAACAGTAGACATGACAATGTGTTTTTTTTTATGTGAATCTCATTTACTAGTCACATTTTTTAGTTACATGCTTATCAGTGATTTTGTAGAAAATATAGCCTTTTCCTTGCCCAAATGAAAAACTATTCTACATCTTAATTGTTTTAATATATATTTGAAGCACTAGCTGAGTATAGTGGTTAGTTCTGCTGGCTGCCATACTATTTGGCCCAGATTCAAATTCTGGAAAAGGCTTGAATGTTTTTTAATGTATTGTATCTGTGTGGCATTGGAATCTTAAAATATTGGTAAGCTGGAAATCCTCTAAAAACGTTTAGTGGTTAGGAAAGAGATGTGGGAGACCTTCTGATCATTCTTCAGAGTGTTCTCCATTAAAATTAAAGATGGAATTTCCTATTCTCATGGGTTTAATATTAGTTGCCCTTGTGGTGCACCTTGGACAATGTTCTCGGTGCTGAGATAGTGGATAAAAATTTAAGTTGGAAATGCCTGGCCATTTGAAATAACTGTTTTATTGCCCTCATCAATCAATTATTTCATTCAAAGAAAATATGATGTTTGAAAAACTTAATTTTTTATATATAATGGTGATTAGATTGCTTGGTGAAAGTTTTAATTGTATCTTTTCCAAATAGTGCTATCTACTGTTGAAAAGGCTAATTTGACAATGTAATGATTAGTACCAATAATATAGTAGATAAATTTGAATGATAAAATAAATTAAAGAATAATACTGTAAATAATATTTTCTTTAAAATTAATCATATTTTTCTTTAAAAGTAAGTGCTGCATTCAACTTCCACTCATGGTTTGTGTAATCATAAGTAGTAGTTTGAAATCATTGTTAAGTAGTAGGTCAGTCTTCTTTGCATGTAAAAGGAATTGTATGGCATTAAAGAAATGTGTATGGTGATCATGCACTGGTTAAGTTAATGAAATAAACAGATTTATCTGTCTTAGAGAGTTTTTTTTTTTTTTTTTTTTGAAGGATTTACTTTAAGTAATCTGTACTTTTTGTCTCTACTGAGAACATATCTAAAATACCACTTGAATCCAGCGTTTGCAGATTATCAAATGGAAAATTTGTACTAGCATTTATGATTTCTGCATTTTTAATAAAACAAGAGAATTTTGCATAATATTTTAGTTAATTTTAAAACAAAACAATTTAGCTATTTAGATATTTTGTGGAGGGGAGGCAGGGCTGCTGAAATTTATGATTTTAATAACCAGGTATTGGTCCAACTTATTCTTTTCTAAAGATTATATTATTAAGTATTTTAACTTCTTAAGAATCAAAAAATAGATATTAATAATATATTTTTCTCTTTTCACATTTTCTGTACTTAATTTTGAGTGAAATTTGAAAAAATATTATAATGTAAAATTAATATGAAGTGAACATTTCTTTTCTGTGTGAATTGTTTGGTAAAATATTATAAACCTTTTTTAAGGGAGGAAAGGAACATGGTGTCCCAATAGTTATATCTGAAATTCATCCATGTTTACCTGCTTGGCGAAGTGGATTACTCTTTGTTGGAGATGCAATTCTTTCTGTTAATGGCATTGATTTAAGAAATCACAGGCATATGGAAGCAGCTAAAATTCTTTCAAGTCAGGTAAGTGAAGATAACAAACTTTGCTTACCTTTTATTCATAAATCTGGCAACACAGGTTAAATCTCCAAAATAAAATTTGTAATAGGGGAAGTTTCATCATGTATCTATTAACAATAGGAATACATATTTATACGTATTTATTCAGTTTTGACTAAAATAATAAAAAGCAATGAATACATTGAAGACATATACAAGCACACAAGAGAGAGTAATAATAATGAAGAAAAGAGAAGAGAAAAAAGAGCATGAGGTATCGTTTCTGCACAGGTTCAGGGAGTGTCTCGGCTTTGCTAGGATTACTAGAAGTGAGTTACAAAAGGTATTTTTCAAAATGCTTGATTAATTTACAACATTGAGTTTCAGACTTACAAAAATTGTTATAATAATTGAATGTATTAAAATGTTATCTAAAGAAAATAATTATGTATATTTGTATCCATACATTTTAATTACTGATGGGTGATTAAAATGTTCAAGGTAATTCAGTTTTTCCTTAAGATGGTAAATTTTAAAATCAGAGTAATAACAAATAAAATGAAGATTTCAGATAAATGATTAATAAAATAAAAAATGTCTTCAAAATATTTTTAAAGAATTTTTTCTAAATATCTTTAAATAGTAGTGGACAAAATAAATCAAAAGCCACCTAGACGGTATAGTGGTTAGACTGCGATACCAAAGGGCCTGGGTTTGAATCCTGGAGAAGGCATGGATGTAAAATTGTCGAGGCCAAACTTGAAGAGTTTCGTAAGCTTGGGTACCCGCGTGTCATCGCTAACCCAAAGTAACGTGGTGACGATTTTCGATTCCTTGAGTTGTTCGAAAATGGGAAAGGAATAACTGTGTATACACACTTCGAGACAAAAGTTCTTAGAGCGGGGAGAAAGATACGATGAGCACGCCATAAACACTGCCTGCGACTGCAGGCCGAAGTTGAAAGTCCAAGTAGAAACGAAGTTTTCTCCATCACATGACTATTTTCCTTCCTCGGCTAAATCTTTAAGTCACTGCATGGCTCCAAAACCTGCTTTGAGTTTTTCAGCTGGGGTTTTCGACTTCTGGATTTTTTCGATCAAGTCAACAATAGTTTCTAAGAAGTTTCTGAATGTTTTTGTCCAAAATCCAGGTCATAGCATCATTCATGTTTCTTGGAATTTTCTTGGGAGGGGTTTTCAGTTTTTCACTGTACATTGGTTTAGAGTTTGGCTGAGAAGGAACGTCTTCCGTATTTCTAAAAGCAGGAAAATTGGTCTGGGATTTTTCTGGCACTGGAGGGGCTGAGAATTTCTTGTTTCCAAATCTTTCCTTATATTTTCCACATCTACAATAGAACGAGACATGTCCATCTCCGCAAAAAATGCAAGTAAGTATTACTTCTGGATTTTTTGGGCAGGTATTGCTTCTATGTGCTTCACCACACTTTACACATCTTTCGAGATTGTTGCGTAAATGCTGTATGTCCATAGATCTGGCAATGGAAACATTGCACAGGCATTTCTTTCGGGTTGTATTTTTCGATTTTAACGTCAAAGCTGAACATATTATTCAGATGAAAAATATTGTTACCACTGTCATTTCTTTTCAGCTCAATGAAGAAGATTGGTAATTTCTCAGTAATTCCTTTTCTTTTGCTGGAAAACTGTCTTACTTTTAAAACTGGAAATTTGTGGTGTACCAGGTCGTTAAAGATTGCATCTTCTTTAATTGAAACCAGGATGTTTTTCATAATCACCTTAATGTTTCTCTTGCTTTGCAGGTGGAAAGTGTGAAAGGGTATGGACCTTTTTGAAAGTAATTCTGTCATTTTTTGGTGGCCTACTGCATTTTTTAGGTAAACATGAATATTTCTGCTCTGAACGCTAGCTTCATGCTCTTCCGTACAGTTGGATTTGAAAAGTTCATCTATTTCTAGCCAATAAGGAACGTTCTGGGGTAACATGATCAGAGGGGGAATTTCTGAAGTTTCTGCTACTTCTTGATTTTGACTTTCTGGCGTATTCAGCGCATCAAACCAGTTTTCCTGTTCAATTTCCATGGATTTGCTCACTCTTGTCGGTTTTGAAGTTTTTCTTGGGGAAATCCATCTTTGATTTTTCGTTGAACTTGATTCTGCTGGGTCAGGTTGAGAAATTTTATCAGTTTTCAGTTTCTTGAAAGTCTTGGGTGGTGGGTTTTTGACAACTGGCTTAAGAAGTTTCAGCAGATTTTCAACACCATCCCTTTGGATTAGCTTTAAGAAACGCTGATACTGTTCTCGCTCGTTCAAGTCAGGATTCACATTTACTTCCGGAGTTCGTAGGTTTTTCATCTTTGGAAACTGATTTATCGGGCTTCTTCCCTTTTCCTTGCTTCAGAGTTATTTTGCTCTTTAGAAATTCACTCCTCTTTTATTATCAGAATCTGCTTTGCTAATTTCATCATCCGAATGCACAGCTCTGAAGAAAGACATAGTAACTCACAGTGAAACCCAAAGGTGACACTGAAAAATAGAGTTAAGAAACGCTGAAGACAAATTTTCAAGAAACTGAACTAGCTGCCTACTTTACTGAGCTAGGCAGTTTCGTCTGACATTCTCGTCATTTTTGTTTTTGCACCTGTAAAATTGTCTGTCCCTTCATAGGAGGTAAAGGTAGCCACCATTATAGGCAAGGTAGGAGTGGCCAATGGCATTATAGGCAAGTGCCCACCTTTGGGAAAAATAATAATAATAAATCAAAAGTTATTAATGTATTATTAAAATAAAAATCAGGGAGATTTGTAAATTTTGAAAAATATATTGAAATTTCCATTTAAAATGTATTTTTTGAAGCTTTCACATGACTTGTGTTAAAATTTGCATTTGAAAAATGTATATAATTAAAAATTTTGAGTTCTTCAACAACTTTCCAATCCACGAGCTACACGATAGGTTTGAGGGGTCTTTTTTCTTTTTTTTTCTTCTATGAGGTACGTAGACTTTGTTACTGTTCAGGCTGTCTTCTGTATTTATAATTCTTGTGTGTATTTGAAATTACTGCCTTCTTTGTAGTACACATACATCCTTTTCAATCTGAATCTGTTCTGTTTATCAACTGCCTACATGATGAGTCAACAAACAGAATTTCATATCCAAATAGCACCATGTTTCTCTAAAAATAAGACTCCATTTTATATTAGTTGTTGCTGTAAAAGGCATGCTAAGGCTTATTTTCAAGGATGTCTTATTTTTCTTGCACATTAATTAACATTTCTTAAAGCTCAAAAAATACATTTCTCCAAATTCAAGAAATATATTTATTCAGGTTCAAGAAAGAATCAGAAATGAACAAAAGCATTAATTTTAATATATGTATGTTGTGAAAGCCAGATTTAGACTTGATTAGGCCCTAAGCTGTTTGAGATATGGAGGCCCTTTATAAGTCCAGATATTATATGTCAGTGTCAAATATGATTTTTGGATATCTAGAGGGTTTTTTTGGGGGGGTCCTAAGTTATAGCTTGTGTAGTTTATACGTAAATCCTGCATTGCATGTTGTCTTCTTAAACATTGTCATAAAGCTCCAAATCATGAATTTTGGCCTGAATTTTTTGCAACTATATTTCTTCTAAGAACATTAGCAATGTTGTTGGCAACATTGGTAACTTTCTTGGTGAGCAATAGAGCTCTCCTCAAATGAACTTTCCTTTTCTATATAGTCTTTTGTAAGACATTGGCAACACAATTCTCCATTATTTTATCCCACGCATTCTTTACCCAAGTAATGATCTCTTGTAGCTTAGGCTTCATAGAGTCTCCGTTTGATTTCTGTACATTCTTTGTAGTCATTGATTTGCATGTGCAAATGGTCTTTAAATGTCTTGTTAATTGCAATATCAAGAGGTTGAAGATATGCAGTCATTCGTGTGGGAAACATTATTTGATCACTTCTTCTCTCTGAAGAAGTTCTTCATGGTTTTAGCATGGTGAATGATGACAGAATCCTGTAGCATACCTCTTTTGCCATTTTACAAAACAAGTGGTAAAAATAAATCTAGCCTCTTTCTTATTATTGCACATGAGCATCAAACATTTTCAGTCTCAAGAACTTAAGAACCTGAAACATTCATGATTCATGTTTAATTTCCTCTTTCTTATGCTTAGAGACTATTAGAGGCGGACGGTTTCTTTCCGCTGCAAGCAAACTGAAAAAATACCTGCAATACATGCACTTTCATAACCAGTGGAGAGAATGTATATCGCAAAGGCACTCCCTTGATGAGTGGTAGTTACATCTATAGCAGTGACTGCAGTTTCATTCATAGCAATTGTGATTGAGAGTTGTTATTTAGAGAAGTCGATGCTATCAACAAAACACTTGACTGCAAGTTCAGATTTGATAACTTCATTATCATTCAATTTGAATAGCATTGTCAATCTTCTTAGAGACAGTTCATATCACTAAAGGAAGCTATCCACGTAGTGTTATGATGCTTTGAATTTGTCTGGAGATATGTTTAGCAGTTGCAAGAGCAAATGTTTGAATATCAGCAGAAAATTTTATTTGAAAACAGTAAATTAGATGCATTTTATTGGAAGTATTCAGGAATTGATTTTACAGTCACAAGACAAATGGCATAGCTTGAAGTGAAATGAGTTAAAAAATGTCTCAGCAAAAGACTTCACTGTTTAAATAGTGAATAAAAATAAATAAATAATTAAAAAAAACAGTGTATATGTGTATTTATGTTATATAATAAAAACTCAGTTGTGATAGAAACTTGGAATGGATTGACGATGGTTCCCTGCATTATAACTTGGAGAGACTTCACTACATAATTAGAAAGGTGACGCTCGAAGGAGAGACTTGTAGGCAGAGATAGTCGAAGTGAACGTAATCTTTATTGCTGGACATGAACTAATTATCGAAAGTATATTTTTTTTACATATGATCATGAGCACAATATGCACACCACAATTTTATATAGAGTATTTAAATAATGGCATAGTGAGCAGCACGACAATGCACAGAAAAATGAAACAGCGTCCAAGCGGCAACATAGCTGCAAGCTAACTGCTCATTTATCCAATATGGCAGTCTGTTAAGAGAAAGGTTTTGGTTTTAATTAGGAAGGTTTCAGTTCCCAGAGTTATGTCATCAGCATTGTGCAGGCCATGCAATATAGATTGATGCAATCCAAAAAAGTTATTATGATTTTTAGAACAGAGAGGGAGAATTAAAGGGTTACCATTAGTTTAAATTTTTATTTACATATTTTTTATCTTAAAATACTTAGAATCTAATTTAAAATACTAAACATAATATAATTTATAAATAAAGTAAATGACAATTAATTGACCAAAATATAATTTTGAACACTCTGCTTTTCAGATGTGTTGTATGTGAAATATTTGTTTGGGGGCAATTAGAAAGTATCATTTCAATTAATTAAAATTCTAAAAACTTAATTTTAGGATTTTATTCACTTTGGTATATAGTTTTGATAGTTGTTTGTATTCAAGTTGGCTAGTAATTCCTCCCCCCAATATGTTAATTTATTATGATATTCTGATCAAATTGCTTGTATTAAAACTATGGTGATTTCTGTTTTGAATTTTTAGAATAAGATTATTATTTCAAATCATTCATACATATTTACTTATATAAGTTAAGATACTGAAATGATTCAGTGGTCACTTCATGATATCGTAATATTAAATCATGATATTTGCACTATTATAACTCAAAGTGTTTTTTTATTGAAGTAATGACTATTTATGGAAGTGAATAGTAATGTTTTTATTTAAAATATTTGTTTATTATATTCAAAATATTACTAATCATCAGATCCCAGATATATTAAAACCTCAGTTCACAAATTTAGTTTTTGAAAGCTGTATGTAAACCAAACAGTTTTCTCCATAGGAGTTAATTTAATAATGGATTAATTCCTTGACCACAGGGTTGATTGTTTAAATTTCACAACAGTACTTTTTGCACAAGTTCATAATTCAAAACCAATAAAAATTCTTAAATACAAAACAAAAAATATAAACACAATATTAAAGTAATAAAACAGAAGAAAATTGAGTTTTACTTCATGTGTGCGAAGCAGAATGGATGGCTTAACTATGAAGGTGTTATTGTTTGGAAGTGGAATTAATGACTGTAAAAACATCAGATTAACTGTCTCTAGGAGGCTTCTTCTTTTACCTTGTCTTTGTCTCTAACTATAAGTATCTGCTTGATACTAATAGGGTCTCTGTTTCACTACAAAATTTTCCAGTGTATGATTTGCTGTTGCCTAAGTTTCAAAATGTTTCTAAAATGAGATATAGCAAGTTATTGAAAATGCTTATTCTGTAGCTTGCAGATGTTTTATCAGGGTGATTTCATTTCTTGAATATTTTGCATTTTAGCCCTTTTACACAAATTTCGCAGATCAGAGGACTAGGGTCATTCGTTTTTCTTCTTAAGATATTTCTTCTACCTTCCTTTTCCTGTTTCTGAAGTTGTAGTAGTAGTTCCGTATTTTTGTGATCCTCTAATAACTTCTCCATGTCTTCATGATTAATTTTCTTGGCCATGGTTTTTCTCATAGAGACATAATAGCAACAACAATAATAAAAAAAAAATATCTTAAGTGTTAAATGAGCTTCAAGTCTCTCCTTGCAATTCATTCTGACCAAAATATCCTCCAGGTATATTTCATGGTCTTACGAATTACTTTGTTAATTGCCAGACTTTGTTAATGAGACTTAAGCAGTGGTAAATATTAATGTTAACAAATGTAAAATAATGTTAAATCCTTCAGCATTTATTCTGTGACACAGCTTATGTCAAAACCGCTTGAAAATCATATGTTGCCAAATTGAGTGTTCATAATTCGAGACACCATTCGTCATCCGAGGCGTTTTTTGTTCAAATAATTTGTTCAGGAACCAAATTGTTTGTGAAGTGAAGTATTCATGATTCAAGATTCAACTGTAAGTATGAAAGTTACTGTGGCTATGAAGAATTATAAGATGATTATTGGGTCTTGTAGACATAAGCAGAAATCAAGGCATAGATTCAGTTATACAATGATGAGTATGCAATGGACAAATGCCAAGGCATTTGAAGAGAAAAGGTTATTTTAACTGGATTGTAATAAATGTATTTAATCGTTGTCATTATAGTTGAATAAAGTCCATTCAATTGTACTTAATGCTGTAATTTTTAACCCAGTTTAACGTTTATTTATCCAGGTATTACAGCTTCAACTCTAAAGCATAATATAATATTAAAATTTAAAAAAATTAATCTTGGCATCTTCATGCAGTTTGAGCTTTTTTTAAATTTAAAGATGAACCTATATTGTGCTAGATCTGAAGCTAAGTAAAATGAATCTTATATGCTATAAAAATGTTTGAGCTCACAAAAATTAAAAAAATAATGCATTGTTAAAAGTTAACATTTAGCTGTGTTAACATCACAGCTAAATTGACTACTGAAATGAATAACTTTATGTACCTTAACTTCTTCAGTATACTTCAATTTTTGTATGCATAAATGCATAAACTTCTTCAATATACTTCAATTTTTGTTTTGGTATTAGATGAAATAATTTCTTTTTCAGGTAGGAGAAATTACATTAGAAGTGGTGTTTGTTGCACCAGATGAAGAACTAACTGATGAACATGGAGCTTCTGAAATAAACTTTAGGTAATAAACTGGCACTTTTTTTCCCCAACAATATTAGACACGAAACATTATGTACTAAACTGATTTCATTCACTATGAAATAATTAATTTAAAATAACTGCTTAAATTTATGACTATGAATGTTTGATGTAATATTTTGAAATAAATTTTAATATTTTTATTCAACATTGATGTTTTATTTAATAGTAATCCTAAACAATCTCATTATTATTTCATAAAATTCACCACATAAACATTATGTGCAATAAAGAAGAAGCATTGCCATGCTATAGACTGTTTTTGGTTAGGGCAGAGACAATAACAATTCACACTGCTCCATGACTCTTTGCAGTATTTGTGGAACATAAAAGCTTGATTTTTTATATTTTATGCTACTGAATAATATTAAAGCATGGAATTGGTTATTTAATGTGTTATTAATTGTCAATAACTTGTTAAAAATTTTAGATATAAAATTTCTGATGAAGATATTAAGTGTATTAAAATTAAACATGTATTTTATTATAACTCAAATGTTGAATATAATGTTTAATCGTTTAGATGCATTTCTGATGACACTTTTTTTTTTCCAGCTTTTGAAACTTTTTTTTTTTTTTTTTTGTGTGTGTGTCTTAAATTTTTTTTTTTTTTTTTTATGGATGTTACAATTTGAAATTTTAGTTCAATTATGACTTTTTAACTGAATTTATACATGAACGTTATTCTTCTGAAGGTGCTTTTTGTACTCATCTTGCTTTAATTTCATTTAGATCTTTTTTTCTCGACTTACAGTTTTGTGCTGATTAATTTTAAATATTGTCCACTGTAAATGCATTGTTTTAATTTGCATTTAAATTAAAATAATGCATTTACAGTTGCCATTCAGCAAAATGTAAGATATTTATCTTTGAAATTCTGTCTGTTATTTAATAACAGACAGAACTATTTCTCATAATAAGCTATTTATGAGAAATAGTTCTTAAGAAATTTTTTTTTAACTTTTTAATCTGATTAATTTGAATAAAAATGCAGTTGATTCATGATATATATCAGGGGTGGCCAAATTCGAGCCTGATGTGGCTCTCACAGGCAATTTGTGTGGCTCATGCATATATATGCATGAAATATGGTAAACTAAAACTATTCAGTGTCCAAAAGGAAGTAATTAATTAGTTTAGAGTCATTTTACAAAGTCATCAGGGATTTCTTTCTATTTAAAACCTCCTCCGATACTTCTATAATGATGTAAATATGAACTTGTGGCTTTTAGAAGATCTAGATGCGGCTCTTGAACATTCCTGAATTCAAATGTGCGGCTCTTACTGACATGAAGTTTGGCCAACCCTGATTAAAAACATTAATATTTTTATAGAACTATTTTATATATTTTTTCACTTTTCAAATACTCAGAAGTCTATAATATTCTTGTTAGTCTGAATGTATGTTCATCTAGTATCCTATAAAATATTTTACTATTCCACCTGGGTGCTCTGTATTGATAACCTCTATTGATAAACCATACTAAACTTTGAAAGAGTCCTTTTGTACGACCACTGAAATATGAATCCTTTCAGATTTTTCATTTTATTTTATTTATTTTTATATAAAGCCTTGTTAAATAGTTCTTAAAAATTACAACAAAATATCTGGCAAAAGGAATTCAGAAGAATTGTAATAGTATATTTTTAATATTGTATTTTCTATTTTTAAGTATTAATTGAAAAATACTTTTGGCAGGGAGGGGAGGGGGAGAAATATGAATGCTAAAATTAATAAATTAATATTATTGATCTATTAGTAAGAAGAGAAATTTTGTTGCATTGAAGCAAAAGCTGTAGCAGTTTTTAACCTCTTTATTTAATTTGCTAAGGCAACAAGAATGTGTAATAAACATAAATTTGTGGGCTATTTTCAGAAGTTTAAATATATAACCTTTTTCTTCAATGGCAGAAGGGCAAACGATGAAAGAGAAAGCTGCAGTCAGGGGATAATAATGAGAGGAAGGAAGTCAACCTACTGATGCCATCTACTGATGAAAAATAAAAACAATTATGCAGCAATTTCCTTAAAAGCTAAGAGGAAAAAACACGGATTGAAATTAGGATCGTTAACTAGAACTGAAAATAATTATTCTCTATCATCATTTGCATTTCTACAGCTGCAGAAGAAGCTTCTATATTTCAGCCTTCAAAACTAGTCCTGCAAAATTATGTTTTTTATGCTAATTTTATTGCCTTAGCACATCCAATAATCATTATTCAGCATGTCATTTTAACTCAAGTTATTACTCTTTTTTGCACAGTATATAAAAGCACAACTTTCTATCATTTTTAATAAGTATATTTATGTAAAATTATTAAATATTTTATTTTAAACATTACTATTGGAAAGAAATTTGTACATTTTTTAAAAATCTAACATATAATAATGATAATTATTTATTTTTAGTTATCCATTCTATGACCATCAGACAACTAGTCAACTTGCAATGTTGTTGAATAAAAACATGGCAGATAAAGGAACAGATCCCATAGATATAGAAAACTCAATAGCTCATCAGAGTTCCTGTAACAATTCCTTAGATATATGTAATGACTCTCCAAAGTGTGTAGATTCTAGAAATTCTGACTGTGAAGTAGCAAAAGCATGTTTATCAAAACAGCTGTCTGCAAGTTCTACTGAATCCATAGCAAAAGAAAATATTATAGATGCAATAATTCCTAATCGGTAATATATTATGTCTCTTTAAATACATTGTTATAAAACAGATATTTCCCTCATATTGAAATAATTGTAAGTATGAATATATATTAGAGTAAGGAGATAAAAGTAGAAGGAGTGGTTTTTTTAAATACCTTCTACTTTTATAAAATATAATTTTGATGCTATATGTCAGTTTATTTTCATTCTGTTTTATAAGCTTGTGGAGAAGAAATGTAATTAAAGGTTTATGCGATTTTACAAGAGCTATTGAGAGATTTTGCAGCAATGAGTAAAAAAATATAGTGTCACCTAAAATTGTTTCTAAGATCTTTATATATATAAGCGGCTAAAGTGAGTGTCGCCGATAGTTTATTGTTGCCACTCGGAAAAATGAGCACGGAAATTAACGTTTTCCTCAGTTTTTAATTAATATCTCAACCGATTAAAGTCGTATGAAGATGAGAACAGTATTGATGGATTCGGAGAATTTTTTGGAATCCGAGGATATGCGTCTCGAATTTCAACTCGGCACCGTTCTGTAGATATTCGAGAAAAAAAAGAATTTGGCACATAGTGAAATCCCTCTAATAGGGAAAACCCTAGGAAAAAAGTGGAAAATGTAGGGAAAAATTAGTTTTTAATTAATATCTCGGCTAATTAAAGTCCCAAGAAGACGCAAATGGTCAAAATGGTGTGCCACGGACCTGCAGAATCCAACGGTGTGCTTCACTAAGCTCGGGAGCCAGCCATTTCGGAGGAGATGATGTTACTACACCCTATATATATATGCGGCTTAAGTGTCTGTTTGTCGCCGATAGTTTATTGGTTGCTTGCGTAACTGTACTAGCCAATGGGGTGAAGTTGCCACGGCACACGGATGCCGTTTCAATTGAGACGTAGACAATTTCCTGTAAAACTTGCTTTGCTATGAATATCAATAAGTCTTAGGGCCAAACGCTTAAGCGCGTTGGCAATTTTTTACCTGAGCCTGCATTTGGACACGGTCAACTTCATGTTGCCTGTTCAAGAGTTCGTGAAAGAACGAAGATAAAATTAAAAATATTGGATGGTCCTCTACAAGGCGAGCTTAAAAATGATGGAAAGATTTACACAAGAAATGTTGTATATACAAAGAGATCTTTGACATGTGAATTAACATTTCATTATTTAAATCAATTTATTGATTGAGCTAGTGGTGGACTTTTAAGAAATGTACCGCCAGTGGTTTCCTCTACTTCAAGCAATTAAGCAAGTAAAAGAGGGAAACCCTGTGGGACAGTAAGGAAAGGGGCATCCTCACCGCCTGCCCTGGGTAATTCAGTTTAAATTAGCAGACGCCTTTGCACAAATCATTTTAATTACAATTTATAATATCTACAACAGTGGTCATTTCGTATGACCGCTTGGCTTTCTAGTAAGATATAATCATCCTCCCAACAGCCCTTACTTTAAAATCTTAGGTATAGGATTTTTTATGCCTTATAAGTATTATAACATCAGGTTGCACTTGCCAACATAAACCAATTTATTGAAGCTGTGTATACTTCATTAAATGTATTAAGTATCGAAACATTAAATGATGTTTTTTTGGCTTTGCAGCAGGTCATGTAATATTCTGCGTAGGTTGGTGGGGGAAATAATTATAAGCTATCACACATGAAAAAAGCAGTCAAGACACTCTCCCAAAATTCATTACTTGTGCCATAGTATTCATTAATATGTCTCATGAAGCAAGAAATAATTTTAAAAATTAAGGAACATGTAATATATATAAAATAAAAGTTACATAAATACTTATATAATTGTACCATACTTAATAAATTATACTTATGCCTTAAAATTAGTGACAGCTGGGAAAATTTTTTTTTTTTAAATGGAACAATCATTTTGATATAACTAATTTATACAAACAGTACAATCATTTTGATACGAAGGTTTATTTATTTCACAATATTCAGTTTTTGCTGATGTATTAGAAATAAGTTAAGATGATGATTAAAATAGTTGGCTGTATTTTCTACATCTTAGTGATATTAGCATTTAAGGAATAAAAGTATCACAGCCCTTTTTGTGTGTGTGTGTTTGATTTGCTGTCGTGATAAAGTATTTTTCATCAAGCAGAACAGCAGTAGTAATTTGTTCTGTTAATGAAAAGTATTTTATCCAGGCTTTTCTGATGGTTCAAAAGATTTCAGATTTGATGGTCATATAATTAATGGAAGGAAGAATTTGTAACTCATGTTGTATATTGTTTTTTTGTTCAAGAAAATTGTGACAATGTCATGGAACTGTATATATCAATATCATGGAACTGTGACTACTATACCAATTAATATTTTTAAATGCAACTACTTATATGGTTTTATTTTTTTACTCTATTGCTTAGCAATTACCATTTGATTATCACCAGTAATGTATATTAAAACACATCCTTCACACCGCATCAGACATGAATTTTGTATTGATTAGTTGGTTTTGAAGTTGTCATTATTCATTACAGTACATCTCCTTTTTTTCAAAAAGTCATTCTCCTACATGATGGCAAAAAAATTTTGAGACCACTTTTATTGATGTCTTCCACTTTAATTTTTTGTAATACAATGATTGAAGAAGCAGCATATTGATTATCAGTTGCAATAATTTGTGAAATCAAAATCACGTCTTTGAAAAAATTTGCCAAATTGTCAATTATTGATATATATTTAGAACTTTACTACAACTTTAAATTAGTTCAAAATTGTTTTGTGACTAACATCAGTCAGGTTAAGAATATTAAACTCAGATTGAAAAAAGTGATGGGCATCCTGAAAAGGGAGAGATAGAGAAAAAAATTAACAAAATTAATGCGTGAGAAAAATGACATAAAAATCAGATCTCTGATTGACCTTTTTTAAGTACAGTTTTAGTAATATATAAGTTAGCAAATTATAATCTGTCAAATAAAAGACACTGAAAATATAAATGTCATCATCTGTATTATAAATTCATGAAAAGGAGCAGGCAATGTTCTCATGGCCTCTCTTTAATGCTCCTTCAAAAAAATGGATGGAGTAAATTTATGACAACACATGAAACTTGGATCCATCTTTGAGATCTAAGCCAAAATGAGAGTTCAGTACACAGTCATAGTCCAAACGGGATTCATAAGGTGTCAGGATTTAAGTGGAGATTTCTGCGAATGGAGAAACTAAACCTCATTTTATTCAGTTTGAGACTAATATTTATGCAGAATACTATAAATAAAAAATTTTGTTATTGTTTCTGAAATATAATCTCACCAGAAGTTACTTGGGATGGAATATTCTATAAAAATTGTGCATCTTTATGCACTGTTAAACTTCCTCATTGATCGAAAAGTTCAACTCCCTCATCAATGGATGCCAAACAGTTCCAATGCTGCACTATACATTTATTTCCTTTGACAGATATGTGGTTGGTTGGTAACGGAGGACGGGGACGCCTGATGTCTAACAGAGGTAAACAGGCATGTGTCCCGCGCCCTCCACTAACCAGGAACAACTCCCTGGGGCCTCAAGAGGCCGCCTCGGGAGCTTTTTAGGATGTTAACAAGAGCATTTACATGGCCATACAAGGGCAGATTGCATTCGTTTTACCGTTTTGACATTTGTTGTTGCAATTTGCTATGGTAATTTTGCACATTCACAATAAAATTCAAATAAGAATACAAAATTAAATATACAGATACAAAAATACAGTTACAAAATAATAGGATTAAAATACAGGCTCATAGGAAATAAAAATAAAAATAAAATAAATAAATAAAAATAAAAAAAATTAAGTATTATGCATATACAGAAGAGGAAATGTTAAATACATTTGATTGTACATTATTTGAAAGGTTGTCTGTAATAGGGACTTATGTAAGTTTTAGGAGTAGACTTTGATGATGCTATAGTCCAGGCCATCTGGACCGGAGGGCCTTTTTCCAGGGGTAGGTGTCAAAAAATTTGCTTGACTTTCCTTGTCACTAAATGGTATATGCATGTGGAGTCAGTGGATGGGATGGTTGGTTATTCATGCGACAATTTTCTGTGCTGGCGTATCTTCCTCCGCGTTGTCTGTTGGGGAAGAACTTCGTTGAGGATTGTGGTGGCTGTATTTTTTGTACTGGATTGTCGTTGCTTGTATATTGGTGGCTGCATGAAAGACTTTGAGCTGGCTGATATATTTTACTTGAGGCTAGCTTGTGGAGGATTCCATACGGATTGCTGTTTTCGGTGCAAAATTTCCTCCAACTGGTAATTTTAGGCCGCTAGTATGTTGTTTTTGTAAAGAGCGCGCTCTTTTCGGAATGCTGCCAATAGTTCGACTTCCGTATCTTCATTGGTGGTGGTACGTATGCGGCGTTTGATAGCTCTGCATTTTTGCCTTTGTTGTCTGAGCTCTTTTATCCACCACGTAACTCCTTGCATTTTCTTTGCATGCTGATAGTGTAGGGAAAAGTTCACTACAGGCTGCTTTAAGGTTTTCAAGTAGTCGGTCTGTGAAAATCTCCATGCCTTCTGGGCTGTTGTGAAGCTCAAGGTTGTTTTCCTCATTACTTAAGATGCGTGTGAAGGAGCGACTGAAAGGGCGGATCTTGTTGCCTGGAAGCCTGTACCTATGTAGGACTGTGATTTTCGTGTCACAGTTTATGAGAAAGTGAAGGTATTTGTGATCGGAGCAGCTCTCATCATCGACCACAGTCCAGTCCTGCACTAGGTTTGCGATGCTGCTTGAACAGATGGTGAGATCTGGCCAGCCCACATGATAGGTGTTATCAAATGTAGTTGGGGAATGGTGAATCGGGTGTATTTAATTAGATGAATGTTATTTGGCTGCCAGAAAGTCCTCGAGCTCCTGTCCCTTCGTAGTAGTATCTGCATATTCCCCATATGGTGTTATGCGCATTAAAAATCACCACTAACAAGCAGAGGGGTTGAAGGGCATCCGTTGTATGGTGTCAAGAATGTATGAGGTGGTGCCAGTGATACTGTCCGTTGGGGAAGAGTAAATTGAAGCTATTATGTACTGTGCGTTATTGAATGCTAGTAAGATGGCAACGAAGTCTCGTTCTTGCTTGATGACTAGTGGAGACCAGGATGGGTTGGTACATACTACTGCGGCTCTGGGGGATTGTTCGTTAGTTTCTGCTTTACGCTGATAGACTTTCCACGATATGGCAAGGCTTGCTACTTGACCCTCTCTACAATAAGGTTCCTGTATCAGGAGTAGATCTGCATCGTGGGATGTTGCATGAGTGACTGCTTGAGATGTCGCTGCCTGCGCTCTTTGTAGATTAATCTGGACGCATTTTATGGAGCTAAATGTTACTTGGTTGTTGTGATCTGTAGGCATAGAGTGATGGAGGTCCGCAGTGCTATTACTTGTAGGTTGTGCTGCATTTGATTCTTTCAACATACCTGCTGTAGGTGGGACAGGAGATGTCATAGGCGGGGTGGGCGCAGGATATTTTGTTATTACTTCTCTAGTTATAGTCTGCACAGTTGGACAGATATGTGGAAAAGAAACTAAGCAAGAGAAAATTTGAGGTCTTGAAAAGAAGTGAAAAAATTTCTTCTCAAAAAAAAAAAAAAGTATTTCAAATTCATGGCCAAAGTGATGCATACTAATTTGTTAAAGACTAATCTATTAAACAATGTTGAAAACATTCCTAATTATTTTTGTAAAATCAAGAAATTATGAAGCATTGAAAGTGATTCCTAAAATTATTTATTACCTTTTCCTAATGAGCAAGCATATTAAATATATTTAATTTGCTGCCATTACAGTACTTGTTTACAAGCTAATGTTTTAACTCTCTGTGTTATTTTTGTATACTTATACACTTGATTTATTTATTCATTCTGCTACAGTGGTTTGAAAAGTCATCTGTTTACAGTGTATTTTATCAATAAAACCACTTTTTGAATTTTGCCAAAGCAATTTTTTTAAATTAACATTTTGTGTAAAAAAAATATATTTTTACAGCTTGAAATTTAATGTGAAAATACCTAGCCAAGCATGCAAAAACCAATAAATGCAGAGCTTATTTAAAGCATACATGATATAAATGTGTAATAGTTATTAACCTGTTTTTATATGTTTAATTAGTGGATTGATTTGTGTACACCTTTTATCACTTCTCTATTTTTTATTTAATCAGTGTCCATATAAAGTTTTTATCATGACTGAATATTTTTTCTTGGTTCTTTAATTTAAAATGTAATTTGATATTTTGATATAGAGATATTTACTAATCATTGCATTTGATATTTATGTAAAGAAGTAATAGTAAATAGTCTTCATGGAGAGGGAGGGTTATGAGCAACAGTAATTTGCCTTTAAAAAAGTAAAAGCTATGTTTTTTAAGCATATCATTTGGAAGAGAAGAAATTATTTACAGAAGGAGTTTAAGTTTTGTGAAGTAAACTGTTCACTTAAGATATTAATTATAGGTCAGAGGTTATCTGAGATGCAGATAGTCAACTAATATTTAATAAGTTTTTTTATTTTAAAATTAAAATTTATTTTTAAATTTTTATATTTTATTTTTTTATTGTTTATTTATAGAATTTAATATTATTTAATTTTGCTTTCTTTATATTTTGTATAATTTTTCATTGTGCTTTTATTTGATTTTCTTTTTTTTTTCTTTTTACTGCAAATTTTAAATATTCTGCAGAAAAGTCCTAAATAATATGTGGCGCTCTTTGATGTCTGAAAAAAACAAAAGCCAGGTACAATAGTTTAATTTATTCTTATTTCTAATAATAATTGTTATAATATCTAAAATGATTTACTGTATTCAACTGAATATAAGATGGCACTACATAAAAGATAAATCTGTAGTTTTGATGTATTAATGAAAAAAAGGGGGTTCGCATAAATTGATTTGATATGCTGTTGGTTCAATAGAAATAATTAAGCGACATAAATATTACATTTTGAGTTGAAACTAACTAAATATATATATATATATATATATATTTGTTGTGCAAAAGTTAAAGGATAGATTATTTTATTATATGTTTTTAAATGTTATCATGTGTTAAAGATGAATATATGGTTTCTAGAAGGGTTTTAGTACTTCTAGAAACCATAGTTTAGTTTCTATGGTTTTGCTATCAATGGACCTTTCAGAGTGATTGGAGAAACTGATATTTTGACCATTGTCTTACATTCATGCTGCTGTGATATATTTCAGTCTTTATGTCACTTCATTAAAAATAGAATAAAAACTAAAGTGCATTTGACTTTCTTCCTTCACAAAGTAATTTTTATATTAAGCAGTCTTATTTCACTGTGAAAATTTTTAAATATATAAACTAGTTAAAATACTATAGTACAAATTATAAATTCATTCTATTTTGGAGGCAGATAAATCTTATCAATATTAAATTCAACTTTTTGATTTCCTTTTGAACTTTACAGAACATACGACATTTAAAAAGAATTCTGATTAATAATATTTTAAATATTAAAAGTTATTTGAATATGTAATTATAATCCAAAACATGAAATTTTTTATTGATTCTTGTGAATTTTATAATTTGTTTTTCTTCCCCCCTCCCCCAATATGGTTTAACATACAGCGTTCAAACACAACTTATAATGATCAAAGCCTTAAATAAATAAATCTTGCCTAGAAATATAGAAATTAATAAATCATCTACTGTTGGTACTGTTAATTCTTTAATATTGATTTTGTCAATCCCTTTCTGCATAATGGTTCTTATTTGATGCAAACTGAAAAGAACAGTCTTTACTTTCTGATAAGAATACTTATGACTTTTTTATGATGCATGCCTGGAATAGACCATTTAGTGGAACAGGTCCTACCAGCTTTTTCTTACTTGCACTATGGGATATTCTTTATACAGTAGATGTTGTAAAATCATGAAGAAAGGGGTTAAGTTAATCAAAAACCTTATTTAGTTGCTGAAGTTTCATTTCTTTTTAAGTTTTCTATATTCTTCAAAATTTTCATACTTTTATATTTCAAAGTGATATTTGGAAATTAGATATGATATACAATTTAAAATTACATTGGCAAAATACAGCAGTTGAGTTCTCTGAATGAAAAGCATAAAATAGAACTAAAAATGTAACAATTTTTAAATGCTACATTCTTTTTTTTTTTTTTTTTTTTTTTGTGTTTGTTTAAAGTAAGGTGTCAGAATAATGGAACTTGATAAGTTTATGTATTATGTTTCATTATTGTAATAAAGTTTAACGTTTTACTCATGAAAACTATGTAGGTTTTCTATAAAATTTAGCATTTTTTTTGGTAAGTAATTACAGTTTTTAGAATGGATTTTGCATAAATCTTTCAAATTTAACATTTATCTTTAAAAAAACTATTAAATTTTATCATAAGTTAAACTATTCATTATGTCATTGTTTTATCTATACATTTGGGAATAGCTTTTGAAAAATAGTTACTATGCAAATTTTAAAACAACAAAACTATAAAATAATTAAAATAATTTATATGATAGAAGTTCCACAACAGAATTCAATAAAAATATTTATATCTTTCTTTTCTCAACAGGAATGAAAATGAACAAACTGATGGTGAAACTTGAGGACCGAAAAGTCTGCAGTTTATCAAAGCTGTCTGGTTGAGATGATTGTTTCGGTAACTTCTTAGCTTTCACATAAAGCTTTACTTAATTAAAAAAAATATATATTTACATATTTAAGTTGAGACATTTGCCTCAACAATTCTCTTTCTATAAACCGTTTTACAGAATCTCAATCAATATGCCTTTCAGATTATTTTTCTGGTATGTGCTTTGGGGAAAATTTATCAGAAAAATAACTGTTTTGATGGACATAAAAGTGTAGAAGTTATAGAAAGTAATAAACATAACGAATGCTGAATGTTGAGTTTGTTACATAATCAAATATTTGGGAAGATAAGGCATTTATGTGAGTTGTTACCATGTTCTGAGTGCTTTGAATCAAATAAAAAAAGTTATATGTTAACATGTTTATGCATTGTATCAAATTTATAAACGATTCCTAATTTTTATAATTCTGTATAATTTTATCACTTTTGGTTTTATGTAAAAATAAAGTATTACTTTTTTTAAATTTATGTGTTGTTTATCCAATAATCATGTATAATATAACAAATGGATATCCTTATAGATTACCCATGGGTGTATATATGTGTGTGTGTCTGTAATTAAGATATGATATTTAAGTCAAAATTGGTGGTTAACATTCTAACAAGAACATATATCAAAATAATATAACAAATAGTTGAAAATTCTTGGTCTTTTTCAAGAGGCATCCAAAACAGAGCCATATTTCTGAATCGTACATCTGGATGATCATAAATTTATCAGATAATTCAAAAGTAAATGCAAAACAAAACAAAACAAAAAAAAAAAAAAAAAAATAAAAAAACTATTTAAAGTACCATTAAATTTTTTTATAATACTAAAAAAAAAAAATGTAATAAAATAAGGTATAAAAATTTTAAAGTATGTTTTTTTAAATGTATCATAAAGATGATCTGACATGACCCTAAGCAAATAATACTATAACAAAATAAACATTAAAAAATAAGAATTTTTGAAATTAGAACCAAGAAAAACATTTGGGCAGATTAAAAGCAGTTGGCTAAATTAACATTTTAATAAAAACCGAACTAAAGAGAATGCGAATTTGCTAAAACTATTGCAAATCAAAAGTAAATAAATTTTAAAGAATAAAAGTTAAAGAAATAAAACTAATTTATTTTAGAAGGTAATTAACTTTAAAGTAAATAAGAATCTTTTAAGATAATTTTTATGCAAGTAACAAGTTTTCAAATTGAAGAGAAATAGAAAAAACCTAATAAAAGAATGGAAGTGTTATAGCCTAAAATGGAATGTTATAAAGTGCAATAGGGCTAAAACTAGAATAGGGAAAAGAATTAAATAAATAAGCAGTAAATTGAATCAATTAAATGTTACTATTGAAACTGTACAAAGTTGTTCATAACCTCATTGTGAATGCACCATGAGACCTCCAAGAAAACTGTTGTAAATCAATAATTGCATACTATTAGTTGTTTGGATGAGTTTACCAAAAGCCAGAGGTTAAAACTTTGGTAGAAATATAGTCATGATATTTCAGCAGAGAAAATACAAACTTTTAAACTTAAAAAACATTTAGCTGACATGTTAAAAATAACTGATAAGACTTTAAAATGTATTGTGTTATTTTGAAGAACATTACTAGTCAGAATATACTTATTTCCTGTAATATTATTACAGCAGCAACCACCCACTTTACATACTCAGGTTTTTCCAACTACTCATGTGGAATTTTGTCAGCAGTGTTTTCTACATATAACCTACTAATTACTTTTCATTCATTTTCTGTTAAAAGATGGATAAGCTATAAAAAGTAGCAAATTTGGGAATTTTTACTTGAAATGGGATAATTTTACCTAAAACATAGCTAATAAGAGTTTCTAAAGATAAACAATTAGTTTAAAATTAGGCAGGGTTGGGAAGAAACCCATATTTTGATGTAGATTTTAAAGAAGAAAAAGCTATTGATTTCAAAGCTGATCAGATGCAGCCCTTCCCTGCTCCTGAAGGAGATAAGTTATTATTGTAATTAGAAACTTTTTGTTTTACAATAATTTTTATTCAAAAATAATTATCCTTAAAAGTACATTTCAAATTATTGATCTTCAATAACCAAAATATTACTCCTTGTATAAAAAATTTAAATAAAATCATGTACAATATCTTTCAGTACAGGAAATGAAATACTACATTCTATAAATTTTAGTTTATGAAGTAAGTTTATTTTGCACACTCAATATTATGAAATGACATGATATACTTTAATATAAAACTGAATTAAAAGCAATTAATAAAACAGAACTATTTTTTGAACAAGAAAGATATTTCATAAATTCAGTGAAAATATAAATATAAAATGTCTTTTATGATTAAAATAGCAAACTATTGTTAATGGTCTGAATATAAGACATGATTCCCCCTTTTAAAATCATAATGCAGTCTAAATTTAAAACAAAAAAGGTAAAACCATATTTATCAGTTTATCACCTATTTTCCCCAATGCTTTTCTACATATGATTTAGAAAGTTTAATTAATTATAGCAATTAATAAAAGGATAAACATCAAAGTACACTGTGTAATTAAAAAGAAGAGCTTTGGAGGTAATAATTGTAAATGACTTAAAAATACAGAATACAGTTCTTTATAATCTGTTAAACTCCTCCTTTAACCACTTCATTAAAAACCGATGTACATATCATAATTTTTTCCCGCAGATTTTCAAATGGCAAAATTAGTTAAAGAAAAGAAGGGGAATATACAAGCAAATAGGTTTAATTTATCACTTATCCCTTCACTTACATATTAAAAGGAAACACACATAAGGGGTTCAAGTCAAATTATGTCTCATAGAGATCCTAATACATCCTATTAGTTATGTTTACAAGACAGAAGTGTTTACTATTACTACATAATGTTCTAACACCAAGGGAAAGTCTGAGACACTTGACAAGCAAGGTAACATCAAAATCTGGGAATAAATGTGGAACAAAATGCTGTGAGAAAAATTCTTGCAAATTAAAACACAAGACTGAACTTCAATCACAGAAGATTGTAGCACAATACCGTGATGAGAAGTACTCTTAGTCGTGGTAAATATTTGAATACAGATGCTTTAAAGGCGGTCCTAAATCGATACACAATGATATCTGCCCATGTGGCTAGGAATTCATTCCTGAGAATACTCAGAGAATAGAATATCAAGTATCTGAAAACTGATGGATAATATGGCCCCTACTAGCAAAACAGATGTTTCTTTCTGGGAGAATCATGAACAGAGTATTTAAGAATACCTAGAGTTCTGGATGTTTAATGCATGTTTGGTACAGCATTTCTTCAATGATGATGAGAAGAAGCAAGTAGTCTGATTTTGACTTTGTACTGCAGTATTTTTCTATGTTACTGGTATTAAGGACCTAATAAAATGCTAGGATGAGTGCATTAATGCAGAGGGAAATAATGAGAAATAGCAATAACTTTCTCTCGTGTACATACGTTTCGTTATTCTGAAGAATTACAAATTCCGCTCTTATTTGAAATCCTCCCATATTTACCCAGTTTTACTGAAGATATGACATTGATTATTTAATTATTTTCTTGTGGAATATCTTTAACATTCCATGCTGTTGTGGGTGAGGTATATGTACACACAAAATGCTTTCTTTTTTTTTTTTTACACACTTTTAAAAATGAAAGGTTGTCTTTGATAGGGAAGGTGGTACTGAAGAAATGTCACAGTACCTATTAATAAATACCAAAAAATTACATAATTTCAACCGAAAAATATGAAAAGATTTTTTCTGCATATGACAAAAATTTTTAAATACACATGTTGTAAAAGTATATAAGAATGCGAATTCATGTTTCTTAAGTATAAAAGCTTATATACTTATCTTCAGTTCATAATAACAATGTAGAAGTGTTCCACTACTTACACCTTTTCAACTTGCAAATTTTTGGAACAAAAAGATCACTCTGTCATAGATTTGATAATATATATATTCTATATTCATCTGTAAGTAATTAGTGACAAATTTCAGCATGTTTGAAAAAAGGCACTAGATTTCTCTGAGGGGTTCTCTCTGTATTCAAATACTGATTGTTTTACAAAAATTGCATGCAAACACTCATGATGCTTTTGTCAACTACATGAAGATTTATGAAGATAAATGCATTGAAAATCTTTTGTTAACAGTTTCAAAATGTCAGAGGTGGGACACAATAGGAAAGCACAAGAACAGAATTCAGTGTCACCCTTATCTGCAGGTATATAAAAGTCTCTAAATTAAACTCTGTTTATGTTTCATTAGCATCTTCATTATCAATTTTCACCTAAGGGTTATTATATTGTTATTTATACGTTAAGCTGATGCTTAAATAAGTGGTAAGGTTTACTTCAGTTATTAGTAATACATACCTCTGCATCTATACAATATAAATCATTTTTACAACACTATATACAATATTTACCAGGTACAGGACTGTTGGACTTGCAGTCATTTCATTTTACAATACACTATTTGCTTCTAAGTTGGAAAACACTCATGCTAAGTGAGAACATATATTTACAACTCTATGTGCAATACTGAGAATGAGCACTTTATGCCCTTTTCCCAAGAATAAAAAAATTAGTTATTTTCACTTGACCTTGAACTAATTGATATTTTTTAGGTATTTTCTTACTTTTGGATTCTTTCTTTAATACATTTTTATTAACTGTAATATTTTTCTTCGTATTCTTCATTTCCGAATTTTTTGGTTTTTTATTAACATTTTTAGGTTTGATAAATTTTTCCTCTTTGACAGCATGTTCATTTTCATTAGTAATTTCACTTAGAATACATCGCTTTCTACTTTTCAGTGTAGATGTTGGTGTCCCAGTTCCGTGTTCATTTAAAGAATATGTCCTTCTGTTTTCTGGTACTGTATCCTCTTCACCTTTCAAACAGCCCTTAAAATCACTGAAAAGGAAAACTGCTGTTATTTATGATTTAGTTGTACCTATGTTTTTGTTTCAGAATTATAAAAAAATACTTGTTCTGAATAACTAACTAAATAAACAAGAGAGAGAGACATGAAAAGTTTCTAAAAGGATAGTCTTACAATCATATGCATGCAAAAATTGTAATATAGCATGGTATGATCCATACACAGATGTAATATCACAAATTAACGATAAAAAGTACAGCTTAAGTTTAAAAATTTCATAAAATTTAAGTTAATTATCTAGAAATGTTCTGCATTCTCTAAAAGTATTCATAAAAATTAATACTAGTATAAAGCTGAATTTTGTAAACATAGGGTGATAGTAAACTTCCCCAATATATGAACTCTGCTAAACCAGTTTCAATTGCAGATATTGTTATTTGAAGGTATGCACTCGAGATTGTGATTATTTAAAACAATAGAGCTCCCATGGTTATGGTTACAGTGAAAAAATTTCAATATTTTTTAATATTAACATCCACTTTTTTCATGCACAAATTGATCAGCACATTGAAAGACCATAAAGAGCATTGGAATGATACATGTATGACGAAAATTGCTGGTGTAAAACATTTGCAATTAATTAACAGTGTTGCAAAGGACCAATGACAACAGAGAGAGGAGATGCACTGATGCATTTTGCATAATTCACAGGTATAGACAGTAGAAGCTCCAACCACAGATCACCATGTGCAAAGACCCACTTGTGGGAAAATCTTTAATCAGTAGTGTGGGAAGTTTTTTTTTTTTTTTTTTTTTCAATCAGGTATTTGAACACAAAGGTGACACTTACTGGGAGACAATGAAGTGTTTTAACTAAACAGAGAAAATGGTGCTGAAGTTGTGAGAGCTTATCGGCGAAATCATAAGCTAAGGCAAGACCCAAGTTTCATAAAAACTGTATGTGATTTAAAAAAAAAAAAAAAAGAAAAGAAAAGAAAAGAAATTGGATGCACATGTAATCCAGATGACCATGTATGTGTTCCTGAAGTTGTTACAGAAGTGCATAATACGATTCATGCAGGGCAATTCCCTACTGCAAGAAGTGTTGTCCACAATATGGCTGTACTGAAAACCGCAGTCCTCAAACTTCTGCACTCTGTTCTCTTTTTTTGTTGATTCCAGTGCATTCAGATGTTGCAATCTGGAGATATACAATAGCATGTTAACTCGGTGAATTTTTTTCCTGATCAGATATGATGAAGATAGCAGGTGCTTCCTGAGAATATTATGGATGGATGAGATGCATTTCTCCATGTCTGGGAATGTAAACTCCAAGAACTGCTCGCACTGGGCTGATGAAAATCCTTATGATGTGGCATCATGATGTGGATTTTACACAAAGCTAAATTGACTTTTTAGTGCAGCATTGCATGCATATTCATTCTCGATCCTTACTTCTTCGAAGAGATCATTTCCACAGCTATGAAAACATGCTTCATCATAGATGCTCAGTATTCAACATTGCAGAACTGCAGCAGCAAAATATCATTAACGATATTGTATGAATGCAAATAGTGTTCCTCCACATGTGTTTAGGAAGTGCTGCAACAGCACTTTAGATTCATCTCCCATAACTTTGAAGTTTTGTGGCCACTGCAATCTCCCAACCTCACTCCAATGGATTTCTGGTTATGGGGTTACATAACATCTAAGGTGTACACATCAAATTCCCAAGATTTGTCTGAATTAAAAGATGCCATAAAATGTGAAGTTGTACAGATTCCTCCTGCAATGCTATGTTCGTCAGTGTTGTCAGCAGTCTCCCGCATGTAATGCGTTATCATATGTGAAGGCAGGTACATTGAAAATCTGTAACTCCAAAAAAAGTGTTATTTTCCCTCTTCTCCTGCTCTCTGTTGTTACTCTTTGCAAATGTTTTACTCCGGCAGTTTCATCATACATCAAAGCACCATTTATGGTTTTCCAACGCACTGATCAACTTGGGGGGGGGGAAGAGAGAGAAGAAGGGGGGTGTTGCAATTCGAAAATTTTGAAATGTTTTCACTGTAATCGTAATCAGGAGAGCTCTATCGTTTTAAACAGGGTTGTCACTCAAACAGGAGAATGAAATTCCCTGAATTTTCCCAGGTATGTTTTAAGAAAATTCCAGTCTATCTGCGTTAGCTGTGCTGAGAAGTAAATTAATTATGGTACCACTCGAAAACAAAAATTTGCTAATTACATATCCCTTATATATATATATAGAATATATATTTTTTTTAAAATCAAAGCACCAAGAAGAACTTTTGCAATCGTGACGAAATTTAGTATGCAAAAACATCTTGATCAAACATGCAAATGATCAAAGTTTCAAGGCGAATGAACAGTAATTGCGATCATAGTGCGCAATCCGCAAAGTATAAAACCAGTAACAGAGGCGGAATATTTATCTTTTCTTGTTGCTGCCATTGTAATTCCGTAAAGAAGCAACTAAAGATGCCATTACGATGATATCAAAGACCTTACAGACAACTAAACGACTTCGAATGTGGTCACATTGTAGGGTTTGCGTGAAGCTGAGTGGTCATACCAAGTAATAGGCCGCCACCTGCAGCTTACAGACACTGCTGTACAAAGATGTTGGCAGCAATGGTTGCCACAAGGAAATTGCTGATGAAATGAAGGCTCTGGAAGGCCAAGGATCTCAAATGCGAGGCAAGATAGGATGATTGTTCGCCAGGCCCAAACTGCCTCAATGGTATCACTGTCGACTATTCAATGCTCTACAGCCACGTCTGTATCTCCCGTGGTACAGTCTACACTCATGGCGCTTGCCTGAGGCGGGGTTATGCTCACAGAGGCCTTTAAGACGTTTGCCTTTGATCCCACAACATCAGCGGAGTCGTCTGGTGTGGTGTTGCAGCCGATCATCATGGCTGACAGGAGACTGGCATCGTATAGTGATGAATCCTGCTTCACTCTTGAAGCAGATGACCACCGTGTTCGTGCCTGGAGAGGACAGGGCCAACGGTCCTAATCAGCCTTTGTTTTACAAAGGCATACAGCCAATAACCCTTGGTGTGATGGTGTGGGGCACTTTTTCTTATGACAGCAGGTCATCTTTAGTAATCCTCCATACATCTCTAACAGCTCAACATGTTGATACCATCCTGTGGCCGGTTGCATTACCTTTCATAGCACATCATCCTGAGGCCATTTTCCAATAAGATAATGCCAGGCCACATACCGTTCGCATATCTCTGGATTGTCTCCATGTGGTTGATACTCATCCTTGGCCAGCAACGTCACCAGACTTTTCACAAATCGAAGCTCCTGGTAACTTTTTAGCAAGATCGCTGCAATGTTTCTACCTACTATTATTTCATATCTTTTTGCAGCATTATGCGCAAAAAATTTTTAAGACCAAATAGATCTTACGTCTCATTACTTGTTAGCTTTACAATTTCTGTTTGAATTATAAATATATATATATATATATATATACAGTCAAAAGTCGTTAATTCGGACACCCATAATCCGGACCTCGAAGCTACAAACTTTCTGCGCATGCGTCGTGTTGACGCAAGACCTTTACGGCTGCGAATTTGCGTGTGCGCAAAAATACGTTTACGAATGCGCGTTTAATGTATAACGGACGATATAAGCTAAGCTTTAATTATCTATTTCAGTTAATGTTGCAGATTGCGTTGTTCCTTAATCTTTGAATTGGATCCAGCTTATTATTTTTTGCAGACTGTTAGAGCAATTTTATAAAAGTAAGCTTGAACTTTCGATTATGTCAAATAGAATTTCCGATTTATAATTACTAGTATGTAACGGATCTACAAAGCGAAAGAATGTTTCGGAGTCCATTAAACAAAAAGTGGAATTGCTGCAAAAAATGAATAAAGGCATATCCTTTGTTTATCTAAACTTTAACGTTTGTTTATCTAAACTTTGTTTATTTTTAATGCCGCAGCGGGTGCGTGCAATTAATTGATCTGTCAGCACTATCCTTATCTTCAGGGCAGATGTTTTTATTTTATTTGGCTTATAATTGCTTACTAAATGTAGTATTTCATTTTGATGTACTCCGTCTTTGATATGATTTAAATCAAATGCCTCCTCATTATAATTCGCTTCCGATAGCGAAGAAAGTGACAGAGGTTATTGAAAACGAAAAAATTTCGATTGACAAATTAGTCGGTATTCTCGACACAGCAATTATAGGACTTGAACAGCGGAACTTTGTAACTGAACAAGAAATTATGTCTGTTTATAGAATTAAAGAGAATGTATTATCACATAAAAAACGAAGCAACTTAAACAACTTACATTGAAAGAAATGTTTAGTAAAGTAAACAAATAAATATTAAGCTTTTTTTTTTTTTTTTTTTTTTTTTTGTAAATTTTGATGCACTTTAGATCATAATTGTTCTTTATTTCGTAAATTTTGATGCACTTTAGATCATAATTGTTCTTTATTTCGTAAATTACGGTTTCATATTTTTAATTTTATAATTTCTGCATGCCATTTTATCAGATTTAAACTGATGATCTATAATCCGGAAAAATCAATAATCCGGAATCGTTGAAGTCCCGACGAGTCTGGATTAACGACTTTTGACTGTATATATATATATATATATATATAATGCATATATATTGCAGACACTTTGCAGCTAAGCGAAATAAAGAAATCTATTTAATGCTATTTAAAAATAAATCAGGTATTTTACACTTATTACCTAAGCAAAACATAGGCAATCTAACAAAAAATATATGCATTAAATTTCATGATGGTATGTCACCAAACTGCTAGAATTAATTTCAAGAGTATGACAGAGAAAATTGCCTGAAATTTATTAACTAATAATAAAGTATTATTAACTAATAATAAATAAATTTAGAAGGAAGAAACCACATTAAGTGATACAAATAACATTAAAATAAAGTTAATTACTTAAAGATTAAAAATTGAATTTCAATAATCAACGATATTTTGGCGAATATAGTTATATTAAATGATTAG